AAAAAGAGAATCCAAGCACTTCACCTAAACCACTATTTTCGACCAAGTTCCATAATATACCTAAAACAAGTACTGGGTATATACTATCGAGTATCCACACAAACTGTGTTGAACAGAGCATGAAGCACCCGAACCACCCTCAATCATCAATATCTCTTTAGCATAACTCCCCTCTCACAAAAACATGCTGCATGTGTAATAAAAATTGCTGCGCAAAAGCAAGATCTGATATTCAAATGTTCGAGTTGAGTTACCTGGCCAACCTTGCTTCTCTTACAGATATAAACTGCAAAGCCTCTTGCCAAGTAAACTCCACATGAAAACCTAGACCAATATCCACAAAGATGTGCTTCGTGTCTGGCCTGCGGAAATCACCACAGAATAATGGCATTAATAAGATCCCAACAGTTAAAGAAATCTGACTGTAGGCACTTATGTTCGAAACAGTCAATTCTCATTAGCGCTTCACAATGATGATATGAAGCTATTCCAAATTTGTAATTTTAAGCTAACATCTGGTTAAACAATTGCAGTTAGGAATGGAGTTGAAATAAAGAAGCAGCATAAGGACATATCAAAGGAAGTTCCTGCTTGTTATACTGTGTAATGGCCAACCGCATTCTTCCAATAAATAAAGTGAACACCAAACTAATTCACTTGCATGCTGTCTCCATATGCGAACACCACCTTTTTCTTAAAAAGGCAGCTGACCTTTTTTGTATTTTTCAGATCGATATAGGAACACCTTTCTCATGTCTATCCTACTGCAAAAGCTACCTCAAGCATAGAGCTACTCCAGTTGAGTAATGTAGACTGGCCCCTAAACAGTGCAAACCACCTACCCTAATAATATTATGGTCTCTGACTTGTCTTACATTAGCATTAGGATAGAGAAATTTCTTTTCTAGAGATTATAGAGAAAGCAAGAGAGTTTTTGCTACTATACTTCAGATTGTTTAGGCGGGGGAGAGGGAAAAGGATGTTTACACTTCTGCCTGCATATACACCTCTGACCCAAGATTGACCATAGATCGCATACTCGTTACACCATTCTTTTCCAAATTTTCGATGTTCTTCTTCAAATCCAAGCTGCCAACACCAAATGAAGGTTCATTGATCAGAAGAATGAGCAATGTTAAGGCCATATATTTGAATAACAAGAATCAAGGGGCCTAAATGTTTCAGTACAGTTACAACACAAGGGAAGACGAGGAGAGAACCGAGTCTTACAATGTCTTCTGCTGCTGGAACAAGTTATCGCGCTGGGCTATGGCATTAACGAGGTCAGGCTTGAGCCGCCGGTCAACGAAATCTTCAAACTTCTTCACCTTCTCCTGCCGGAGACGCGCCTCCACAGCCATTGCCATGTCCTAAGCTGTTTCCTATGAGATTCGCGAATCGCAAAATATATAATGCCGTACTGGGTTAAGCTGTCATTGCCAAGGCAGTGAAATTTTAAAATCAATAAGTTAAGGTTGTCATGCAACCATGCTAAAATAATCGGCAACTCAGGACATGGTGTACCCACGCAACTTTATATAGCATATATCACAATAAGCTTAACCCATTGTAACAACTTATGTAATCCCCATGTAACCTCATTTGTACATGTCCCTCATTTATAAAAACAAAAAAATGGCGCGGTAAGGGTCTTCCCTACTGTTTTTGCTCAAAAAAATTATTACAACTTGCATATGTATCATAAATTCATAATTACAGTCAAGTCGACACAAATATAGCATATATCATAGTTACTGTCAAATTGACGACACAGAGGTGACACTTTGCCTCATTAAATTTTCAATTTCCTCAAAATTACCATTACCAAAAATCATCGCTTACTAGCATGAATTAAAACCAGGGCTTATCCAACAATAAAAAGAATCAAATTAACATGGCAGGAATATTACCACCTCTTTGTGAAAAGCTGAAGCGACTAAAGAAAAGGAAATCATGCATGTAGGATTGTAGACTCGACACCAGCCAAAGCAAGAGTTTCAAATTTTGGGAAGCAGCATAACAAGCCAAGTTAACAAAATTGGCAAACTACATATCGACCATCCATAAAACCTGACACGGTTACAAATATTGCATTGCACAAACTTCTCTCCATACTAAATTACTAACATGGTAAGGGCCATAGACGGCATTTAGTTTGACTGTCCAGCTGCTCGATGTCTACTGCCAATGGAAACACCCGCCACAAGTATGAATACATAACAATAACACGCTTCTTGCCTGTTGTTGGCCTATGAAAACGTGTCAGACTTGCAGCATTACGATGTCTTGTGCACAGTGGCGTGGCCAAGACACTCCAATTTTATTTCATTTTACACAAATGAGCCTATCTATATACGGACAACAGTTGAGCAGGAAGGATGAATATACTCATGGTCAAACAAAATCAACATCAACTAATTGGTCCATACAATTCTACACAGATGAGCCTATATGTGAGATTTAACTCAATACTCATTGTCACTCAAGAATTCAACACTAGGAAGAAAGCAGAAGCACCTCACCCTCACCTTGCTGCGGTCGGCGGGCACCACCGCACGAGGCTGCGGGAGGCGAGCAGAAGGGGACCCGAAGACGGCAGGCGGGCACCAGGCCGCGGGAGGGCGGCGGCCGGGAGAGGATGGAGCCTGCAGCCCTGCAGGAGAAGTCGAGCTGCAGGAGGGCGGCGGCCGGCGGGCACCAGGCTGGAAGGGGAATCGGCAGGGAGCGGCGGCGTGGGTCGGTCCTTGCGAGCGAGCCTCAGATTCAAGTGGGCTGCAGGCTGCAGGCTGCTCCCCTCAACTGCTGGGCCGGTTGGATGTTTATGGGCCTTAGTCAAATGATATGGGGGTAATCCTCAAAAACAAAACAAAAAATAGTACGGGGTAAAAAAAATCCTGAAATCGGAGCCGGGGAAGGTGATGATGAAGCCGAAGGCGCAATCGACTTGCACCAGGAATTGGAGCATTGGACCCCAAAGATTGCTGGTGCAAAAAGGGAGAAAAAACTTCATCGATTTTTTCTTGCGGGGTTGAAGGGACTTCATTGCTCAGACAGGAGGAAGATCCTCATATACATTAGCAGGCCTGGCTTAAGCCACATCGCTGTCCTAGCTTCTACTCAACCAAACACAGCTAGTCTATGGCTGCCTGAATTTTGGAGCCTACTAATATGAGCAATAGAAGTTTCCCTTTCACCGAGACGAGACGAGACTTCACTTCATCGAATTATTTTGCACAAGGTAACATGCCAGTGGGATGCTTTGGTGTCCTTTGTGTGTCTATGACTGTAGTTGTGTTCAGCCTGTTGTGTTTTTCTGCTTGTTGCCGAGGCAGTACTCGGCTGTTTCTCTGCGTGTGTTGTAATGTTGTCGACTGTTTGGTTTCGTTTTCAATAAAATGGAATCAGGGTGCGGGGCATTTTTCCTCTAAAAAACCCTTAAACTTCTGGGTGTGCCACGGCCCCACTCGGGCTACCCGCCCGCTGGCTACGCCAATGCTTTGTGCAAGGGTGGGTCTAGATGATATGTCTGGTGAACACTTGCTCACAGAAAATATGTGGTAGTTATTACACACACATACTCCCTCTGTCCGTGAATAAGTGTACATCTAGCTTTTGTTCTAAGTCAAAGTTTTAAAATTTTGACCAACTTTATAGAAAATAATAGTAACACATATGACATCAAATTGATAGATTATCAAAGTACATTTCAAAACGAATCTAGTGATACTAATTTGGTGTCATAAATGCTTTTACTTTTTTTCTAGAAAGATGGTCAAAGTTTTAAAAGTTTGACTTAAGACAAAAGGTAGATGTACACTTATTCATGGACGGAGGGAGTATCTCACACTAGCACACGCAGCATGCTGGCAAAGCGAGGTGGGCGTGCGCCTGCAGGACGTGGCGGACGGTGGCCGCGCGTCACGACAAGGGCGTGCTGAGGAGCTGCCTCGCGCCGGCGTCGGGCCATTCAAAGCTAGATCACATATTTGTATATTTTTAAAAATTTTGCTTTAAAAGTAGTCACCCTATGTGATTGAAAGTCATGGGTTGATGGCAAGATAGTGTAATCGACAAGGCCAACACTCTTTCGCAGCAGGTGTAGTGTAAAAAAAAGGTGCACAACAACAAATGACGTGTTTGGTTTGTGACATATTTGTTGTCTCTCGGTTACACCGGCTCACGACTACATTACCTATGTTTGTTTTAACTGCATCAGTTTCAGTTCTCATGTAATCGCAATTCATTCTCACAAAACCGAAAACACCCGATATAGGCCGGTATCGAATAACACCGCTTGTCCTGATTGTTTTCTTCACCACGAGCCATGAGGACCAAGTAGCAGCGTCGACGATCTCTCTCTTCATGGGCCATGGGCAGTAGCGCCACCGTTCTCCATTCGTCGCCGCCGCCGTGAGCACTGCCAACGATCTCCCTTCGTTGACGTCGCCATGGGTAGCACCGCCGACCTCGCTTCATCGCCATGAGCATTAGATGTCATGTCTCGGAAGGGATCAAAGTCGATCTGCTCTGATGCAGGCGATCAAGAGATAATTTGAAAAAATGTACTAGCCAATACATTAACCCTAAAACTCTAAGCTAACTTGATAAGAACGAAATGAGGTTATAATGCTGATGAGTCCAATTTGTCGTTGTTTTAAACCCTTTTTTTGTGCCATAGTCTTAGGATTCATCGGGTTTTACCGCGTTGGCGCACCCTTGTGTGTAACATGCTATTGAAGGTGGAGAAGAAGAATTTGCTTTTGGATTTAAGAAAACACGTTGTAAAAAAAAGTGATGGCAACCGTTAGAACGCATGAATCACAGTGGTACAAAAATGTAAAGTTTGATTTCAGCTTCTGCTTGTGTTGTTGCTCGCTAACAAATACAGTATTTTGCATTACCGATGATATATTGGATTTCTTCCATGTTCCATGTCGCACTTCAGAAGAAAAAAAAAATGGTGACCGATTAAGCTCGATCGACCAAGTAGCGGCCAGCCATCAGCTGCAGCCGTTGGCGCCGAACCCGATCTTGTTGTTGGCGACGTCGTACACCACCGCGAGCGTCTTCTGCTGCGTGTTCCCGAGGATGCCGACGTCCGCGCCGTCGCTGTTGGGCGCGAACGCCAGGCACGCCTGCGCCACCTTCGCCACGTACAGCACCCCGCTGAAGTCGAGCCCCACGGCGGCGCCGCCGGCGAACACCAGCGCCACCGACGGTATGCGCACCGTCGTGTGCCCCGTGAAGTCGTAGCACGTGTCCAGGATGGACAGCGCGGGCGCCCGCTTGTACCCGTACCTGCGCATGGAGCGCGCGAACGCGGACCGGAGCCCCGCGTACGCGCGCGGCGGCAGGCGGGTGATCACCGTCCCCGAGTCGATCACCGTGCCAGCGGCCGCGAACACGATGGGAGAGACCCTGACCGTCCGCCCGGCGACCTTGACGCCGACGAGGCCGACGTAGTAGAATGACGGCGTGTCGTGGCGGGTCCCCATCGCCGTGAATCGTGCGTTCGCCGGCGCCGGCCCGCCGAGGGAGAGGTACCCCGCGGCGCTCGGCGACGACGGGAGGCAGTAGGAGAACCCCGCCCCGTACTTGGACGCCGCTTGGGACGACAGCGACACCTTCTCGCGGCCGAGCCCGACGAGCCCGTCGGCCCTGCCGAACAGCCCGGTGTCCCGTTCGCCGCACCCGAAGACGAACCCCGGGAGCGCGTCGGACGGCATCAGCGTCAGCGTGTCGCGCGCCAGGGCGCCGTCGGTCTGCGACTGGTCGCCGTACACGACCTCGTACCGGCATTTCCTGTCCGGCGAGCAGCTCCGCGAGTCCAGCCCCTGGCACTCCGGCGCGGCGCAGGGCACGGCGGAGTACGTCGAGGACCGCGCCGGGTCGAAGAGCGGGTCCTTCTGCTCGTAGCAGTCCGAGCACGGCGTGCACTGCACCCACGACAGGTCGCTGCCGGTGTCGAACACCACCGTCATGTCCCTGGCCGGGGTGCCGAGGCCCACGGACACGACGTAGTTGCCCGTGCCGAGGGAGACGCCCCGCTGCGCCGGCAGGGTCACGCCCTTGGCGCCACGGGCTTGGTCCAGCACGGGCGACGCCGCCGCGGCGACCTTGCGGTGTATGGAGTCGACCCTGGCCTGGTCGTCGTTCAGGAGCTCGGCGTGGGGCGGCGGGGCGCCGCGAGCCTGCAGCGGCGAGCACGGGCCGTGCCGGTGCACGACGTTGAGGGCCGACGAGTTTGATGCCGCTGCTGCAGGGCAGCAGGAACGAAAATTAGCTACTCTAATTTATAACTGCAACTTCAACGCATACGGCAATCACATTTTGATTTTGACAGCTGTTTGCACTTTTCGGTGATCTGATAAAGTATAACAACAAAAAATACTTCACTGGTAATAGTATATTTGTATTTTGGATCACGATGTGATCACCGGTCTTTCTGAGCTGTAGGAGTTTTGTAGGGACTAATTCAGACAGGCGCACTTGTTTAGAGATAAAATGGCCTTTCGGTTCACAAGGGACTAAAGCTGTCTAGTCTAGTTGGCGACCTTTGAGGCTTTGACTCATTGAGACTGATACGTCATTTTTCATTTTTCTCTACTATTTAAGCAGAATCAAACGTCATGATGATGGTTCAACCAGTTTCCTCCTCTTCGTCTCGCCCCTGACCCCCGCACGATTGAAAATTTCACGCACAAAAAACCAAAAAAAAAGGCGAGTACAAATCGGAAACCACCATCCGCGCACGCAGTCACCCTCCACCCACCAGTCCACGACTCCCCCCACATCCTACGACCCGCCGCCGTCTTGACTACCCGTCGTCACCCGCAGGCTGTCTTCCTGGACGAAGTATGGTTGGCCGCCATCGTCGTCTTCCTGGTTGACGGCGAGCTCCCTTGTCCTCGCCGTCCGCGCCCATCCCTGCCTCCCTATTCTCCATGGGAGCTCGACTTCTTCCCCTTCTCTCTTGTCGGTCGGCGTCCTGGTGCAGCGGTGCCCCAGCGGCGCACGAGCTCAATGCCTCACTCACGCTGCCACCCCGGTGCGGCACAGCCTCTCTGGGCACCATATTTCTGGCGCTACCAGCAGCCCAAGGCTTCCACGGCGAGCTGTAGGCGGAGAAGTGCACGCCCCCACTCCACACAATTGAACGCCGCATCGCATCGCCGATTGAGGGGTCGACCTAGAAGAAGTGGCAATTTCCTGGACGACGCCGCTGCCAACGACGAGGAGGCTACTGCTTTCAGTACACCAGGCTCCAGGGTCCTCCCATCACCGATGGCTGCCCTCGGTGCTGTACTGGGCCTCCCTGACCTCTGCTTCTTCGTAGGACACGGGAGATGAGCAGGGTGTTCTCAAGCGGCAGCTCCAGGTCTTCGGCGGCGCCATGATCACCAAGGTGGTTTTCATACTCAGCTGTCTGTATGATTCTGTATTCATGCCATCTGCACCAATATTTCCTTCCTATAGCACTGAGCACCATATGTTCCTTATGTATGAGGAGTTGCAACGGGCATCGGAAGTGTATAGGAATACATGATCGTCAATGACATATATTCTTCAATAGCACATGTTTCTGTAGAGAGGATCTGTACAGCCTTCTTCAATCTGGATCAAAGTATTGAGGTAACTTTATTGTCATTCAGGTTCACCGGGCTAGCTAGGTTGAACAGCTCACAGAACGATGTGGTGATTTTAGTCCTAAAGCCAGGAACTGAAGATGGATTGGTCGCCAGTCTGAATTTTATCTATCTTGCTTCACAATATGTTTTTGGCTCCATGACCTGTACGGTTCCACCAAGGTAACTGACCATTCTCCTAGCTGCTGCGATCTGACCGTCAGTTCAGTTGTTGCCACTAACCACTACCCACCATATTGATTGCGTGCAGATAAATGTCAAGGTGAGGGTCATTTCCGGCGTGGTGACCACCGAGTCGTGGCGAACACATGCAACGTTGGTCATACACAACAGGTAATGTCACAACAACTCAATTTCTTCAGAATTGGCATATGTAGTCATATACTCTATACTCATGTGCTGCTATTTCTAGAGGTAGCCCCCTAATCAAATAAGTAAATATTTGGTGTTTAATTCATCATAAAATATTTGTGTTTGGCGGAATAAATTTCACACATGACTTGATTTTGTTAGTCGAATGGTTTATATGAGCAGGAGATAATCTTCTTAAACAGGACACTTAGAATAGTTCATTACTTGTTTGCTTAGTTGTGTTATCTATCCCATCTCTTGTGCATGAAACATAACCTCAAAATCTGCACATAATATTCCAAGGTCTCCATCATGATATGTCATGTAAATCTCAAAAAGTGAGTTGATTAATTTCCATGTGATGTGTAAGTTATTAGTGGCCATTTTTTTAACCAGCCAGTTTGAGTTCACTTCTGGCAGGTAGACTTGTAGAATATGACACTTTCAAGATTTTTTTCGATTATGCGATGTAGCAACGTCAGATGTGGTAGAAAATGCATTCATGGTTCGTGCGAAAAAGGGCAAAAGCTTTGCCTCTGCTTATACTAACCATTAGTTTAGGATAGTATACACAGATCTATGTTGCATTAGGTTTTTAAACTCTTTACGGCAGCTGGTTTGTGCATAATTTACAGAGATAGTTTTCCTGATTGACTTACATGCTGTTTGTTCTAAAAAAATAGAAAATATATGCATGTGAATGGTGGGTATGCCTGAATGTTTTCCCGCTAAAGAAAAAAGATACAACTGAAACTTATGGAACCTTTATCCAACTCCTAGGTTTTTGCCAGCGGCTGAGGTAGGAAATATACAAATCACAAGCAACCATATTGTACGTCTTGATTAGGCCATCAAGAGAGCAAATTTCCGCAAATTCCAGTTCTCAAAAAAGTTGCTCACTTTCAGAAGTATTAGCTATTGGATAATGTTATGTGTCTCTGCGGAAGTCTTTATTTATTTTGGTCTGTGCATATGTGACAGGTCTAAACTCGAGGGGGGTGAATGATATTGTCATGCGTGTGAAGGTGTGCTTAACAAATGCTCTTCTGCTTGGGAACATAGAACTGCAAGATTTGCTTCCAATGGTTATGCCTTAGATCATGAAAACGAAAGTGACACCCAGGTAATGGAAGTCTTTTTTTCTTCTAAATTTGATAAATTATCAGTTATGTATGTGCTATTGCTGTGTGCCTTGAACATTGTGTTGTACAAAAGATTGGGATGATTTTCAGAAGATGCAATGATATATATGTGTCTAGGATTAGAAATAGATAGTGGATTGGTAGACACGATTATCCTTGATCTTTTAATCATCATCCTAAGTGAAGGAAACAAATGCATGTATCCTCTCTTTTTGCTCTATGTCCATGTTTTATTGAAGATTGATAGAAATAAACAATATTCTTGATCATGATGTATGAAAAAAGCTCCTCACGTCTCATGTGAATGTAATTGACTTGTCTATTAAGACGAATAGCAAGATAATAAGGTCATGCTTGCACGCTGCTGAAAACACTCCCTGGCGTCTATGTGTGGCTACAACAAAAACAATATTTGTGTTCTATATTTTTTTGGTGAAGTAGAGCAGGGCCAGGCAACGACGAGAAAGAGAGGGAGAGGGAGAGGGAGTTGAAGATTTCCAATGTGGGGTGGAGCCAGGTAGAAAGCAAAACCATGTATAGATGGAAAAAAAGCATGCCTTATTATGTGTGGTATATTTGAGTTGAAGTTGAATTGGGTATCATTTCTTTTGCATACGAGTGTGAAGCAAACTAGGAAATGAGGGCCTATTCGGATTGGTTTCTATCCTTCACATTTCAAGAGACAAAAATATATTACTTGAGACTTCATGAAAAGAAACATCACAATAGCTAAACATCAGTCGCCTGAATGGTCAGTCGATTTTCGCTAGAAGGAAGGAGGCACCGGAGGGAAGGAAGAAATAGCGTAGCGGGGGGCTAGCCGGAGAAGCTTCACCATAATCTATCTTAGGGTGAGGGTGGGGGCGGTGGTGCAAGTTCGCCGGAGAAAAAACCGGTGAGGCCCCGGGCTAAGGGATGGTTGGGGAAGGCGGCAAGACCGGCGATGTGGGAGGTTGAGGGGAGGGCGGTGTGGCGAGGCGGCCACGAGAGTGCCGCAAGCCGTGGGCGGCGGCAGCAGGCGGCCTGGCTGGTGGTAGTAGGCGGCAGGAGGAAGAAGAAGACGGACGCTGCAGCGATGTGATCTGTAAAACGTTTGGAGGAAGAAGACATAATCTGGGCCGTTCGTTTTTTATCTAACGCTTGTAACTGATCAAGGCCAAATTGACTGGCCCAAATAAAAATTTCTGTCGATCGACTCTTAGCCATTCCCAAATGACATATTTTCTTATAGTATTTGAGATACATGACATCTTATTTCCTATAATTTTACTATATTTCTAAAATAATCATATCCTATATGAGTCAAAGGGGCTTTATTTTTCCGTGGCAACGCACGGGCAACAAACTAGTCTTGACTAGATGGCCTGTGTCGGCCCTTGGGGTTGCCTATAATTATCAAGTGCATTTACCTATAATTATCGAGTAGGTGTACAAGTGTACATCTAAAATTTTGCAAGGAAACTTGAAAAATAATAATGATAATGGGGCAATATAGATCTACCACGCTATAAGATGTTCCTTGCTCAACTTGATAAACAAATAGCGAACCAACATGTGGTTGGATAGTTACGTGGACAGTGGTATCCTCAGCCCACTAGGATTCAACTCCTGGTGCTCGCATTTATCCTGAATTTATTTCAGAAATTTCGGCAACGTGGCTTTACCCTCAGCCCACCGGAGATAAACCCGTGTCTGAAATATACGGTGACTTCGTAAAATCTCAAAATGATATGCCGGTTCAGTTTCTCGAAGGAGCTCATAGGGGTAGTGTATGCGTGGGTGCATTCATAGGGGTAAGTGTATGCGCGTATATATAAGCGCTTGTGTCTGCACTGATCTCTATCTCTACTACTAATAAAAGTTCAAACATGATCTTCTCTAACAACACCCCATAAAACCTACACGGACGCATTATCACCGTCTGATTAGATCCACTAAATTTAATCTAACGGTTAGTTTTAATCTCATCTATTCTCCCGTGTGTACTTAATAATTTGAATTGACTGACCGTACTCCACCGCACCGCAGAGGAAACTTCAGGCGCAGGAGCTGCCACGCCCCCGGCCTCGTGCCGTGCCACGCGCAGCATGCCGCGCACCGTGCTGCCGTCGTGCCCCTGGCCCGCCGCCGCTCCTGTGCCGCCCCCAGCGCTCCCGTTGAAGGTCACTCCGGCCATGTCACGCTTCACGCGCCTGCCGCACCGCCCCTCGATTCCTCTGTTCCGTTCCTCGGTGCCTCTTCTCCCTGTCGTGCTCCCTCGACAGCGAGATCTCTAGCACCATGCGTACGCAAGGAGGGCTTTTCCAGAGAATTCCTTCCTCTGAATCCTCCATGTAAAAGGTATACACGTTCTTTGATCTAAACTTGGTCGTGTATAAGCTCGGGAAGGACCAATTTTATCTTCTTTTTTTTTGATTTGATAAAACGAACATATAAGTGTACGTAGATCCCTGAGAGATCGTGATTGACGATGTTTTTCTGCCTTAATAGATTGCCACATGAAAAGAGTTGATTCATGGATTGAATTGTGAAACTTAGTGGATGGAGAGAATGTCTTCGTTTTTCAAAAATCAAATGACTTCCATTTGGCACTGTGTTAAGGTCTAATTGTGCTAGCCATGAGGATGGGGGAGACTGAGATGGCTGAACAACTGAGCCCAATGCTCCACTATTCAAGAATACTGAGGTTAGATGTACTCCCTCCGTCCGGAAATACTTGTCATCAAAATGAACAAAAGGGGATGTATCTAGACGTATTTTAGTTCTAAATACATCCTTTTTTTTATCTATTTTGATTGATGATAAGTATTTTCGGATGGAGGGAGTACATGTTTCATTAGATAGGAGCTTCTTTATTTTAGGTTCCAGTCGAGTCAATATTGGTTGATCTTGCTTCTTTATTTCGGTGAAATTATTTCCATTTGCGATTGAAGATTGCAGTGTGACTTTTCTGCCTTTTACCTAGATAGCTTGTGTCAGTCGTTGAAACAATTGCAGCATGCTCAAGGTTTGATGGTGGAGCAAATGTGAATTACTGGGTCTTCTATCATTACCCTTTTACTGGAAACTGTGGGGATGATAGTTTCTAATTTGAGCTGATGCATCTTACAAACCCAAAAGAGTTCTTTTTGTGGAAGTCACGAACCTTGTATCTTGAACCATTTTGATTGTTTAATCCGTTAAAATCTGCACCTTTATTGTCTCATTGACTCATTTTGAAACATCGATGCGCCGCCCCTCTCCCACCAGGACCCCCAACGCCGGCAGCACCTCCCATCTCTATATGCTGATTTCTCTATTGATTCCATTAAAATTGGTTGGAGGTGATAGAGGATGGAGGTGGCTTTCTTTCTGTTTATTGAAGAACTGATGGATTCTCCTGACGCTTGTGCGTGCTAATTATGCCTATTCTTGGTATGTGAGCTGCACACATATGCTTAGATGCTCTTCTAATTTTCTCTCATGCTTATACAGATTTTTTATTGATTTGCCACTAATTTGTACTGGAGGTCTCATGCATGTATTGCAAGTTTGCAACCTCGTGATATAACACTATTTTGCACTGTAACACTATTTACCCACGAAGACTGCTGCTTGATGATTTTATTGTAAAGTTTTCAATTAACTCTACTCTTTGCAGCTCATTAGCTTGGTCAGAAACCGGAGTCATGGAGGCTTACTTGTCACACTATCATAGGAAAGAAGGAAAATTCCGGCAAGGCATGATTTCACTAACCTTGGCTACTATTTATAGTTATATTATAAGTATGTTTCAGGAAAAAAAAAGTCAGGTTGTTTTCCAATGTGGAAGAAATATTTTACTGTTAACCGGCACATTTGATGTACTAGCATAATATGATCCAATTGTACCTCCTGCTATGCAGTGTTGCCATGGGCACCAGTTCCTGATGGTTTCCAAGTTTTCTTTGTGTCTTCATTTGCATTGCTAGACTTATTCGCTCAAAAGATGAACACATCATAGAACATGTATACTACTGATAAAAAATATCTTTAATGATGGATAATCTCTTCTTCGCATCCCTATTATTACCCTGTATGATTTGATAGTAGAATTATTTGTGTGTAAGTTTGTATATTTAAGACCATTCCTGGGCATCCATGGTAAATTGTAAATTGTCTGAACTGTTGGCATAGAATAGACCCAAGCAAAACAGACGCCATCATTTGTAATTATTTGGATAAAAAGATAAACACGTTTTTATTCTTTCATGTTTGTAAATACCAATGTTTGTAAATACCTAAAACTAAATTAATACTAGAGTATAATGCAAGACGTGCAACACACGTGCAAGCTTACTAGTGTTCAAAAGAAAACTTGATAAAAAAAACAGAATGTGAATAGTATCACATTGGAACCCACCACAGATTGGCTGGCTTACCCTCAGCTCACCGGAGATAAACCCGTATCTGAAATCTTACATGTGTCATCAAGGGGTGCTATTCTTTTCATAGAGGCAAAATGTTTAGATTAATTTCGAGGCGTCCCTGATGAATTTTTCAATTAACACATTTGCTCAACTTTGTGGAAGAAACCAGACACGAGCTAACCTAAACCTAACCTTTTTGGATGAAACCAAAAAGGAGCTGATCTCCTGTTTCAAAAAAAAAAGGAGCTGATCTCAAAATCCACTTATTCAGCTAAAAGTTTTTTTCTCAACATTATTTTTTTTTCAAACAGGTTTATAAGATATTTCTTCACATGGGGTGACATTATAATCCTCTGTTTTCTCTACCCTAAATGCTATAAACACATCGTTAACTAGCTTAGATGGTTAGGTTCCTTGTGATGGAACTAGTCCACCAAAGTAAAAATCAAGTTCGGGTGCTTCATTTTTCTGATTTTTTTTAGTCTTTCCTGTGATGTTTGTTGTGTAAGAAGACTTACACGATAGAGGTGAATTTGAGATCACCGCGGAAGTTGCTTGAAAGCAAGTTCTTCCCCCGTGTGCAGATATATATTCAGATATTATACCGTGGATGCTCACGTTTGGGAAATGCATGCTTGCCGTCTCACTGTGTGTTCATTTTGACTTGTGTGCTGTCTGCATGGGTAATACTGTATACGGTATACCTTTTTTTTTGCGGGGTGTATACCTAACAGGCTAACACTAGGGGGAGCAGTGCAAAATTATACACCCTACCATTAGCCTTCATCGAAGGAAGCCATCACACAACGGACGCGCGGAGTAGTACGTACGTACCCTTGGACGCCGTGCAGGCCGCGGGCGGCAGCAGCGTAGCGACGCTGACGACGTGCCAGTCCGGCTCCGGGCCGCTCGCCGCCGTCCTCTCCGCCGCATCAGGAGCCGGCGCGCCGAGGCGGACCAGGGCGGCGGCGATAAGGATAAGCGAGACCCTGAACGGAGCGCCTCGACGGCGACGCAACGCGCCGGAAGCCATGCACGAAGCTTCTTCTCGGTGACGGGCAGCAGAAAGGCCGGCTTCCTAGCCTGCCGCTCGGTGTGTGTGATCTGGGCCGGCGACCGTGCACTCGACTCGACACGATCGGATACCGCACGCCGCGTGCTTGCTTATATAGCGTTGGCTAGCTAGCCAAGCTAGCCGTAGCCGTGCGCCGGCCACCACCCATGCCCGAGCGTGCGTGGAGAAAACCGGTCGGCGTCGAAGTCAGCAGGCACCACCCCGGCCCGTACGTGGAAAAGTTGGGTGGTGTGCCACCGCCAGCCAGCCAGAGCACGGGCCGGCCGGCACTCCATGCCTCTACGTAGTCAAAGACCAGAGCACGGAGAGCTGGGTCACCTCGGACGCGATCGCACGCACCGATGTATATAAGTTAATAAAACATATACATGGTCGTGGAGATGTGCGGCTTTTTCCCTCGCACTTGTCCTTCCTTTCGCCCCGATTTGGGTTCGGATCTACGGTGTTGGACGTCGCTTTCGCCCACTACGGTTGAGGCAGAGCCGACAGCATGCAGTGGCGGTGCACTGACGGACGGGAGGTGCATGTGTGATCATTCATGCGTGATGATGTTGAGACCGTTGTGAAGGAAAGAGACGGCGGTTTTGGAGTGTGCGGCGTCAGCTAGCCAGGTACAGACCCAGACGATCTCCTGATGCGAATGGCATGACCTGATGCGCGCCCTGCAAAGAGCAGAGGGATACAACAAACCGAGCACATGCATGCTAGCTAGCTTGCCGTTTCTTTGTTTGTTCAGACACGCACGCGCGCACGGCAACGGAATAAAGGAGCATGTACTTTTTTTTGAGGGAGCCCTTTTTTTTAGTATCAACGTTCACTAGTAAGATACACGTGCATTGCACACATGAGATTTGGTAATCAAATTATGAATAAATACCACACTATAAAATGTAAGTTTTCAGTCATATATGCATGATGTAGATGTTCGATTAATTCTTATAGTCCATCCCATTCAAAATCAATTAGTTTTATATAAAAAATCTATTTTAAGTTCATGGAATTGTGCATTGTAAAGCATAAAGTAAAAATAAATAATGACAACTCATTTAGAAAAAAAAAGTTTGAGCAATTAAGATATGGAAGATTCTAGAACAAAAGAGAACTGCTTTTATTTTGAGGTTTGTGCATTATGCTTAAGTTCAACCATGGAGTCTTCTAGATTGTACATGTGGCATGATCTGGTGGAATGTAGATGATATCCAATGGCCAGTAGTGCTCGGATGTGCCATCTCTGTACCGTCAAATTGACTTCATCCAATGACCAACTTTCAAAGTTATTCGTATACTATATAGGGGTATAGATATAGCAAAACGGTCCGTGCATTACAACGAGAGAGAAAAAAAAATCATAATCTTCAATTGCGGTGACCACATTTTGTTGCATCACCGAGATATACTATCTCTCATTTCCATGAAATCATGAACAATTTTTTAAAAATCATGGAATTTTTTTCAAACTCGTGAACATATCTGAGATTGTGAACATTTTTCATATTGGACAATATTCCTTTTTACAGATTTTCGAACATTTTCTAAAATCATGAACATTTTATACTATTTGCAAACTTTTTTTTTTAATTTTGAACATTTTCTAGAATAGCCGGACATTTCTAGAATCGATGAACATTTTTTTTGGAGATTGTTTGGTGGAACAGTTTTGAAATTCATGAACATTTTTTTAGATTTAACAAAAACTTTTTGAAATGCATGATTAATTTTTGAATCTGCAAACATTTTATTAATCAAATTATTTTGTAAGTCACGACCAGCTTTTGAATTTTTAAGATATTTTCAATTAATGAAAAAATTGAATTGCAAAATTGTTATTCAATTTCATGAACATTTTTAATACACGAACTTAAAAAATCATGAACATGTTTTGATTTCCCAAACATTTGTTTTCTAATTTGCGCATATTTTTTGAATATGCGAACGTTTTTTAAAAGTCATGAGCATTTTCTGAATGCACAAATATTTATGAATTATTAAACATTATATTTCAAAATTATCATTTTTTTAAAAAAATCGGTACTTTGCGAATGGCATGACCTGATGCGTGCACTGCAAAGAGTAGAGGGATACAACAAACCGAGCACTCGCATGCTAGCTTGCCGTTTCTTTGTTCAGACACGCACGCGCGCACGACAACGGAATAAAGGAGCATGTAATTTATTTGAGGGGGCCCTATTTTTAGTATCAACGTTACCTCTATTACATTCATATAGCAAAACGGCCCATGCGTCGCAACGTGAGAAAAATAAATCATAATCTCCAATGATGATGACCACATTTTGCTGCATCACCGAGATATACTATCACTTTCATTTTCGTGAAATAGTGAACAATTTTTGAAAATCACGAACATTGTTTCAAACTCGTGAACATTTTTACAGATTTTCGAACATTTTCTAAAATCATGAACATTTTATACTATTTGCAAACATTTTTTTAATTTTGAAATTTTTCTAGATTTATTTTCTAGAATAGACGAACATTTTTTTAGAGATTGTTTGGTGGAACAATTTTTGAAATTCATGAATAATTTTTCGATTTAATGAAAACTTTTTGAAATGCATGATCATTTTTTGAATCAGCAAACATTTTATGAATCAATAAACTATTTTATAAGTCACAACCAATTTTTGAATTTTCAGGATGTTTTTCAATTCATGCACATTTTTTGAAATGCCACAATTTTATTCAATTTCATGAACATTTTTAATACACGAACTTAAAAAAATCCCGAACATTTGATTTCAAATTTTTGAATATTTTTTGAATATGCAACCGTTTTTTTAAAGTCGTGAACATTTTCTAAATCCACAAACATTTATGAATTATTAACATTATATTTCAAAATTATCATTTTTTAACAAAAATCAGAACTTTTAGAATGGCATGACCTGGTGTGTGCACTACAAAGAGCAGAGGGATACAACAAACCGAGTACTCACATGGTAATCATAAACATTTTTTTTCAGACACACACGCGCGCACGACAACAAAATAAAGG